GATGGTACAATCTGACGATGGTACAATCCGACGATGGTACAATCCGACGATGGTACAATCCGACGATGGTACAATCTGACGATGGTACAATCCGACGATGGTACAATCCGACAATGGCACTTGCATGGAGAGTCATTACCCTCCATGCAAGTACCATCGTCGGATTGTACCATTCTGCGGCTGTACAGCCGCAGAAACACAATGGTACAATCCGACAATGTGAGAATATTCTGTAATCTGATTATATTTGATCACACAAGATGAGAATAAAAGGCTGCAGCAAGTCAGCTAAGAGGCTGTTTAATATTTATAACATCATTTTAATCTCTTCAAGTCAAGGATGCTGGTCTAAACCACAGGGCTTAGTTTTTTTTTCTCTTGCTGCTACTTTCCTATTTAAAACCACTGCTGGAGCTTCTGTGCCTGTTGGAGCCTGGTGTCATTACCAGCCACTGAAAACCAAGCATGAACGTTTTCCCAAGGGCTCCTACTTAACAAAGCCTTCAATTGGCTTTGACAAGCTGCTGTGGAAGAACTGTTGGCTGACCTAGTACTTGTCTACGTCCAAATGGGGTCTTTGCCTTGGTGTTTCCACCCTGCAGGGTAGCTTGTACTAAATAAAGGTTTATAATTCTCTATAGTCCTGTTCTGCTGCAGTATCTCAGCCTGACAGTCCTCCTCTGTAATTCCATGTCTTTGTTTTTAGCTTGTTTTGTGTTGCTGTGCTGCAGACTGCTCAGTGTGCTGTGCTGCTGTCTGGACTCCTTCCTGCTGCTGGAGAGCCAATATAACATCTGCCTGATGCTGCTGCAGAGTCAGAGGGAGAACGTGTCCAACCAAGATACCACCGAGGGGTAGGAAGGAACACTTACCTGAAAATTTATCATGTGAAAGTTTGGTTTTGTTGTTTCTGGTCAACAGTTTCTGTGGTTTTACTGTGTGAGTTKGTATGGCTGTCCTTAGCCTTAAGTTTTAGATGTACAAAACATTGGGTTTGGCTTCAAAATAAAGAGCCCAGTAACATGTTCAGCAGGCTCAGTGAAAATGTCAAATTAATACTCCTCGCTTTTCTAAAGCTCAGGGTCTGCTGTCTTTAAAGGGATCCCCGATTAGTTGTAACATTAGACTTTATTTGATAAACATATATTTTATCTGTAAAATAAAGACTGAAAAAATACTGTAGGCTGTTTAGTTTTTATCATTTTTCAACTAAAATTTAAAAAAAATTACACGGACGGGTCCATTTTATTTACACGCAAAGCATTCTGGGTAAATGATGACGTGGATAGGTCCTCAGTGCGAGGCTGCTAGCGAGCTATATCCACCCTGAAGGTTT